TCCCTGCCCTGGACACGCTCCAGCCCCTCGGTGTCTCTCTTGTCCTGAGGGGCCCAGAGCTGTCCCCAGCACTGCAGGTGTCCCAGCAGTGCCAGCACAGGGGACAGCGCTGCCCTGGGGCTGTGTCACACCCTGGCTGCCACAGCCCAGGGGCCTCTCGCCCACCTGGGCACCCTGGGCTCCTGTCCATGCCCTGCCCCCAGCACCCTCAGGCAGCTTCCTGCTGTACATATTGATGTCTTCCTCTTGCATCTCTTTTGTTTTGCCGCTGTTTGGGCTTCGCTTGGCGTTCCTTAACATCCTCCCTTAACTAACAGACAGCTCTATTCAGAGCGTTTAACGCTCCGATTCACCTTTAAACCCTTTTCCGTTATTATTTCCCCGGCGCTGTGGTGCGAACCGCGCTGAGGCGGCGGCCCCGCCCTCAGCCGGCGCTCCCGGCAGGCCCCGGGCGGGATGGCGGCGGCGGCGGAGGCGGCGGCGGGAATTTCGGACTACCGGCTCTTCGAGGAGAAGCTCATTCGGGTAACGGGCCCGGCGGGGATCGCTTTCTCTTTCCGGCACACTTTTCCCCACACGCACACCACATGTCGTTCGTGCTGTTGGCGCCGAAGGGTGCCGTGGTTTTCTCTTTCCGCTGCTTGTGTAGGTCGCTGAGGTGCGGGTACGGCGGCAGGGTGAGGAAGGGGGTGCTAGGGAGAAAAAAAGTATTTTAAAATTATACGGCTGCGTCCCTTCTCCGTCAGGTTTATTAGACAGGCTTATGCAAGAGTTTATGTTCCTTACACGGTGTAGAACTTGCATGTTCTTCTGTTATTACTGGTCATAATCTAACCTTTCTAATCTAGTTAGGTTGGATATTAGAGAAATTTCTTCACTCAAAGGGTTGTCCAGCCCTAGCACAGCTGCCCAGGGCAGTGGTGGAGTCCTCCTGGAAGGATTTAAAAGCTGTGTGGATGTGGCACTTGGGCACACAGGTCCGCGGTGGCCTTGGCAGTGCTGGGAGTGGTTGGGCTCGATGATCCTGGAGTGCTTTTCCAGACCAAACAATTCTGTGATTCCACAAGCACAGCCCTACCTGAGAGCGCTGTGTTGATCTCTTATTTCTGGCCTTGTTTCCGATGGTACACGTGCTTTGCGGGGCTTGTGCCTGCACATCGTGGTCACTCCCACTCTCCCACAGAGACTGTTCCCAGTGATGGCTTGGGCAGCTTTATCCCACACACTTTAACACAGTGCTCACCAGTTTTCCAAATACCCATTTAACATTTCTTGGGGCATTACTGTGTCCGAGCCGACAGGTCATGTGAATAAGAAGATATAATTTCATCACACGGAGATAAGCAGGTGTACAAAGAAATGGAGGAGATTAAAAGGGATGTATTATAGTGTTCTAGACCACAGAGGTTGTTAAAAGAAGAGGGAAATGCCTCCTGGACTGATATAGGAGTTACTCTTCAGGAATGCAGAGTTTGCATTGGTTTACATTTTTCACATCTATCAGCTGTCTTCTGTCATTTCACATGATTGCTTGCTCTTTTGTCTCCCTTCTCTGGCAGGTTACTTTATGGCTAAAGAAAATATACGGGGATGCGCCTATTCCACAGTATGAGGTGAATGAAAGGACAGTGGATATTTTGCATGAAGTTATGGAGTGCAATGAAGGGAGAGACAGGGACGTTACATTGCTGATAGAGGACATGAAGGACCAGACGGCCAAGTATGAAGCAGAAAGTGAGTTTGAAGCTCCATTTCTCAAGTCAGGCTTTTCTGAGTGATCCTGAAGATTGTGTTTGTTAAAAACTTAGGAATATATATAAAATTGAAACAGACTCAGCTTTTTTTTTTTTTTAATGCAGTTTTTACTACAATGCATCACATGCAATTTACAGTGACATACGATTGGTCAAGGGCAATTTTTTAAGCCATGTTGAGCATGCCATAGATGTGGACAAGCAGGTTAATTGCCAAAACCTCCTAGTCCTCTAGGCTGGATAGCACAGTATAGAAATATTGCCTGGATAGAGAGGGAAGTGTCCCTGCAGCTCACTCAAGAGTCTGAGCTAGTGCTACGTCACTGTTAAAGAAAGCTCTAGAGAAGCCTGAAACAACATTGAGGTGATTAAGTTGTGCTTAAGCTGCCTAGAGTGACTATTCCATGATTTGTTTGGGTTTTTTTGAGCAAGTGAGTGGTTCAGGGGACTGTAGTATATTTTAAACACACATAGTAAAGGACCGTCCCTTCACAGGCTTTTCTCAGGAAGGAGTTTTATTTTTCTGTACAAAGGCTGACATAGTACACATGAAGACGTTTTTGTAAGGAAACATGTTTGGTTTTTCTTCCTTCAAGTGCCTTGCCACTAAATAAAAAATGATGGAGACAGACTTCCTGGGTCTGCCACAAACAAGGCTCAGGCTGAGCTTTGTAGGGAGATGACCTGCCTGTGCTCACTGCTGTAGCATAAGAGTGAGCTCTTATTTGTCTGATGTCAGACAGACTGGTCAGGGAGGGAGTGGAGCAGTGCTTTCTCCCTTCATACACTGAATTCATGACAGATGGAGATGTGGCAGCAGTTTGGCATGTTTAAGCTTTTTTTTTAAAGTGTCTTTTTCCCCCAACAACAGGCAGGTAGCCAAGTTCCCTGTGTGAGACTGGGTTCTAGATTTGGAGAGTTCCGTAGGAGAGCAGTAGTATTTAAAGAAATCACTACTTTGGATTGTATATATTTTCCAGCTGAGTACTGGCAGTATATTCTTGGAGAAAGGCTGGGTCTTTCTGAAGATAATCTGTCCCAAGAAGCTGTCGCAGACCTCACTGACCTGGTAGAAAGTGCAATGGAACTCGAAGTGGAGGACACGTCTCTTACCAGGTAATTTTTCACACTCTGCATCATAGTCTGTGCTGTTTGCCTCTGATTTTTCACGTCAGCAGCTTCAAACTTAGCACTAGGAATCTTATTTGTCAGGCTTGTTTTTCACCCCTTGGGCAGTTTTGGAGTGCATGGAAACTGAGCATGCTGGCTCTTGGTTATCCCAGCACAGGAAGGCTCTGAAGCCTGAGAAGCACCTGGGATGGAGTTAAATCCCTCCTTTTTCTCATGCTTTCGTGATCAGTGGCTGCAGGCTGCTGCCAGTTGAACTGTTGTGCCAGGTATCCCAAGCTACAGCAGTGTTCACACTTAGGCAAAGACTGGGGAGCTCTGACTGGTCTTCCAGCCTCATCTCCTCATCTTTGTCTGTCTCATCTGGCTTCAGTTCATGCAAGGAGATTCTCTCTGCCATGGAGAAATGGCATCTGTTAGTCTGGTGTCCTTGGGCCTCTCCCTAGCATGGCTTTGGCCCATGGCACTGCAGCACTTGCAGCAGAGAAGGGGCAAAATTTGCCTTGGAATCCAATTTTTATGTGATACTTAGGATCTTGGCTCTTACAGCTCTCTTTCTGACCTGGAGGGAGAAGAACTTTGGGCCACTTGGGAAGAGACTCAGATGGTGTTGGGCACATCTTGTGACTGTGCATTTTCAGGCACTGAATGCATTTTCTCTCAAAAGCAGTGAGGCAAGCCGGGAGTTGAGCACGTGGTGGCTTCAAACCCAAGGGCTTTCTTCACCAGAGTGCCAGTTGTTCACTTACTCAGGTTGCTGGGTTGTTTTCCCTTCCATGTGGAAATCTGTGTTAGTTATGAAAGCAAATTTCCTTAGTGTCTTATTTTAATTTTCTCCTGCCATAACATCAGGAGGAAACTAAGTCATTATTTTAAAGTGTGGAGAGAAGAATAACAATAAATCTGACTTTCAGAAGAGCTGACTCCTAAGCATTCCCACCGATTCTCTCTTCACCAGCTTCTTCTGCGCCATCAATGACATGACCTCGGAACTGTATAAAACAAAATCAAAAAACGAAGAAATGGAATTGAAATTGAAGACCCTCACAAAAAAACTAACTTCAGCACTGAGGATAGAAAAGCACTTAGAGGAGTGAGTAATGGATGAGGAGGAGTGAAAGATTAAAGTAATACTGGTGATCTCTGTCTTGGGCAATGTTGGTTGTGGTAACTAATGCGGACAACTGAATTTTTAGGGGTTTGACATATCTCCAAAGTATTTGGAAGTATCTTCCAAAACCCATGTGTTATGGATAGTTTCAGTAATTGAAAGAGATCTGGGAAAGCATCAGACCCATTATTTTAAAACAAAAGTGATCTACAAGCAGTTTTCAGATACAAGTTTACATCTTCTACTGGTTGCTTTGATCTGAGGCTGAAGGCAAATCTGATTTTCTTAGCACATTTAGCATGAGCTCTGTAGTCAGACTGAGGGAGGCAAAACAAAAACCATTCCCAGGTAAGAAGTTCCCTTAACCAGTGTGTAGAAGACGTAATAATAGTAATAACTAAAAAAATCAGTGTAAAGTCCATTCCCTGGAGCATGTAATCTGAAGTGCTTTGCCAAGCACAGCAGGATCCACCCCAGCCTTCAGTGGGCTCTCCACTGCTCTCTTCCAGTCTAATTATTTGTGGGGTGTATTTTTGGTCTTTTAAAGTAGTAATATGGATTGATTCCTGTGTGCTTTGTGCAGGTTTGCCTCTTCTTGATCTGAGGTTTAGCTCGTGTAACAGGTCTCTAAGTGAGTTAGGGAATTATGCCCAAGACTATTACCCTTTGCTTTTAGGCATATGGCTTTCCCCTTTGCCACTATTTTCCGTGGCCTGTGGGGTTCTGGAGGTAACAGCTGTATATGTTTCCACTGGAAAATCTCACAGGGAAATACGAGGTTTTCTCCTTTTTCTTCCTTCTTGTGTTGGTTGGACTGCAGGGCTTATCTTGAGCATAGATAAGTAACAGTGTTTATATACTGATATATCTTTGAATGTAACAGTTTTTTCTTTTCATATTATTTTTAAGGGATATTAAAAAATTAAAGGAATCTCAAGAAGCAGAAAAGGCCAAAGCTGAGATTCGATCCAAGAACTTGAAGTTCCTGGAAGATAAATCTAAGGACCTAAAAATAAAGATCAAGGAAGCTGAGGTAGGTGGGAGGAATTTTCTTACAAGGCACTGTGATGGGATGACACAGCCGTGGTTGGTTGAGCCCAAATTTGTAGTTACAGAGACATCCCATAAGCTTCCTAAAACCCAGGACTGGGGACTTTGGGGCTAACAGGACAACATGTAAATATAGTTCAGTTGTCCCTGCTGATCTCTCCTCAGTGCATCCTGTGTTCAGTACAGTGCTCTCTCCTCATTCCCTGAGAAACTTGGTTAGCTGGGATTATCTGGTGGTTTTCTTTTGAGTTACAAGAGAACACAGACAGCTACCAGTAAAGCAGCTGATTCACTGGGGTAGATTGTATCTCAAAGTAATAAGTATGACCCATTTTTTGAAAAGAATGGATGACTAAACTTCTGTAGAAAGCAGAAGTTCTACTGCCTGCTCCTTCACCCTCCCTAAATGATGAAGCACATGTGAATGCCTTATTTAACGCTTGGATGCTGTCTGATTCCTTGACAAATACGAAATGGAAAGTACTGTATTACAATTGACATTTTCCTGAGAAGCCTTTCTTCAGCCTTGCCGTGTGCCCTTCTCCCATTGCTTTTCTTGAAAAACTTGTTATTCTTAATACGAATTTTAGCAGCACTTCATTTTGTACACCAGCTATAGCTGTGGCTCACATAGCACACGTTTCTGCTGTGCACAACCTGCATTCTTCTCCACCTCTTTAGATAAAAACAGAAGGAAATAATGAAATCTTTCTCCTTCTTGTTGCATTTTGTGCCCTCTCCTGTTTGCAGGGTGAGCTTCTTGACATGGGGTTGGATCAATCCCTGACACACGAGGCCCTCGTGAAATCATCTGAGGTAGGTTTTTGGGTACAAGAGAGATGTTTCTACAGTGGGACACGCTTGCTTGTTGGGTGCTTTCAGGAGCTGTAGTTTGCTGTTTGGTTGCCTGAACAAATCTTAATGGCCAAATGGAGCACAAATAGAAATCCTGTAGATGGATTCCCATGAACTGGGCTCTTTCGGGTGGGTTTGTCTCTCCTAGAGGCATCTACTGGAGAATTTCCACAAAATAAATTCCCTGCCACTGAAAACAGATCTGCCTCCTTTATTTCTGGTCCATGTTATAAACAGTGGATATTCTGTAGACTAAATGCCTTTACTTGGTTACCTGTGTATTGCAGTTTCTTGATAGAATGACTAATGTGATTCTTTCTACTTTGTGTGAAATAAATCTCTTCCAAACACTTCAAACAAGGGGATAAGGTCTAATGAAACCCAAATTTTGAACCACTGTGTGCTATTTTTTGGTTGTGTTTTTAAATATACCATTTTTCATCTGTATTGTAAGCCTAGTGGAACATATGTTAAAGAAAAAGCACATTTCTTGAGTTAGTAACTACAGATTTTACAGCTTATTGCTGTGCACTCAACACATCTTCATATTTTTTGCTGTTATTGTAGTGGGAATTCAGTCTTTCTCGTCATTAATTTTGCTGTCTATTCCTGTATGTTTTCGAGTGGAGCAGTGAAAACAGGTTTCCTGGTTTCTCTGTTGTGGTTCTCACCAACCAGCACTGGGTGGCACTGCGCACATTGCCCAGTGTTACAGGAGGGTACTGGCCAGAAATAATTTTTGTTGGAAATTTACATCCAAAAAGCCACAGGCAAATTTTCTAGCCTTGCCATCTTCTAGAGCCCAAGCATAAGGTAAGGTTTGACTCCTTGACATTTATGGAGCTGCTTTGCCAAGACGTCAGTGAAATGGGCAGCAAAAATGACTTTATCTTTTTTATTTAACTTCAATTATTTGAAAAAGTGCAGGACTGTGGAAGGTACTCAATTTGCAGCCCTAAGGAGAAATTACTTCCCCTTGATAAGCATAAGGGAGAGTCTCCTGCTGCATGTGCAAAACTTCAGTTTCTTGTGTGTTTTATACAAGATGAAAGCTCTCAAATTCTGAAATGTTGTAGATAACTGTGGATCTATCTCACTCATTTCCATCAGTTCTACAAATAATTCCCTAGAATATGATCTGCCTTGCTCTCTCTGCAGGAACTGGCTGCACTGAAGAAAGAATTGGAGCCGTTGAAGAGGGAACTGAAATCCTACCATGATTTACCTCTTGTAAATATTTATTCCACTATTATATTGTATTTGCGATCAGGTTAATTTTAGTGGGCTTCAGAATGTAAGGGATATCATTGTGATGGCTTTGGTGGACAGATAGTTGTCCTACAGGTCTGTTAATGATGCAGACCAAAGACTTAATCTCTGTTTATTAATCAGAGTCAAGAAATCAAGTTTAATTGCCAGGCAAACTTTGTTCTAACATAGTAGACAGATCTGCTGTGTAAATTAGTGTTCAGGTCAATTAGGTAGAAACTGGACAAAGAAATATGGAAGAAAAGGAATCCCCTAGTATAACCAACTTTTTGAGATTTGCCAGTACTTTAGCTGTAACTGTCATCAGGCTATTAATATGGTGGACACAGCACGTGGTGCAGAGCTTGGAGCTCTGAACAGGATTTTAAGTATCCTGAAGAAATAGCCAGATGTAGGTTTTGTCCTCTAAACTGGCTTCTCCATTATTTTATTTGATTTCTCTTGAAGGTGCTGGGTACTTAGCTCTATGAAAATGCAAGTTTCTCATCTCCCTCATGCAAACACTGATGTCTTGCTCCTAGGAGAAAAAAAAAAAAAAAAAGGCTGTGGGTAAAAAGGTGGAACTGCTGCTCTGTTTTAATCCATCTTCCTCCAAGAGGCAGCTTCCTCCTTCCCTCGAGTGGAGCAGGACATTAAAATGGGATTAGGTTCTCCAGTTGCCTCCTCCAGCCTTGCTGTCAGTGGAGAAAGGGAGAGCCTCAATGCCTCACTCCTGGTGCAGGCAGCAGGAGGGGAGGGAGGTTTATCCTTGCAAACTTACTGTGCTTTGCAAAATTCTTGAACAAATACGTTTGAAATCAAGTCCCTTGATTGGTAGGTTTGGAAAATTGCCTAAAATGAAGTAGTTTTTTTAGACTTTAGGCCATTCCAGACTTTTGAAAAATACATGATTGCCCTAACCAAATCGATACTAGGCCTTTAATGGCAATGCCTTCTGCATGTGAAGTGCATACACAAAACTGTATTAATTGTCCATTAATTCACCTGAGGCTTATCATTAGACTCTTATAACAGTGCAAGGACTCTTGTTTCCTGATGAAATGCTGATTTTTATTTCATTTTATCTCCTTAGAGCATTCCCCTGGCACGAGTGATAGTTGAAGAAGCAAAAAAAGAACTTGTAAGAATTTTTTTATCATTCCAGCAGCTAATATGTATTAATTGATTACAGATTCACTCACCTTAGGCTGTAGTCTTAGTGTTCTCATGGGGAAATTTGGTGAGGCAGAAGTTGTAGATACTGATCAGGGGAGCTGGTGGAGTGATGTCTAAAGTGCAAAGGCAGTTGGGCACAGTGATATCAGTGGGGATTAGGTAGCTGTATCCCCATGAATTTTGCCAGTTGGAATGTTTGTTCATGCAGTGTAGGTCTCAGAAGCTTCCTTGCTCCTCCTGAACTCTCAGAGGGCTTCAGGGCCCGTATTTTAGTCAACAGCTGCCTTGTAGACTGTAGTGGGTACCTTCCCCTGTAAAACATAGTGCCCATTTCCTCCATGTTTGTGTGATCTGCAGGTGTGGCTGTTGAGCCAAACACCATAAAGCTGTTTGGGAGGTTCTTCCATAGCTCTCCTGAGCGAGCTGGGCCATGTTTGAGTCCCATAAAACCTGTTTTTGTTCCTTTGGGCTACTGCCTGCTTGCTCATAAGGCACGACTGGTAAGCCTTAAACCTGTGATCAAAAATCACAGCTAGGTGAGAGCATTTTGCACATTTTCAGGTGAGACTGCCTGGGTTGGTAGACCACTTGTTTTTGATTCAGGAGTACAAGCTCCCCTTACCAGCCTGAGGCTGTTCTGAGGGCAGAAAGCTCACCTCTGAGCAGGACCTCTGAGTTGGGAGGTGTCCAAAATCACATTGGGGCACAGAGTAAAGGCAGCTGAGCTTGTCCTTCATTTGGAGGTTTCCTGTGGTTGTCTGCCCTTTGCAGTGACGAGTCCATCCAGCTCAGCACTGGGGTTAATCCATCCCTGCTGACAGCCTCCCAGGGTTTGGTCATTGCAGATGTGTTTGTTTACCTGTAGAGTGTGGAAACTGTCTCGTAGTCCCTGATTCCTCTTGGTTTCCTCTCCTGGTAGAAAGCCGTGGACGAAGAGCTCACAAGGGAGCTCGAGGCTGTGCCTTTCGAGCTGACATAGGCCAGCAAGCCCCAGTTCACCTGAAGTGGCCTACGTGGAACATGATTTTCCTTCTGTTTCCTTCTGTTTTCCTTCTTACTTGCACTAGCAACCCATTTCAGAATTCTTACTTTACCTTGTCAGCTTCCTCCTATGTTCTTTTTGTTGGCCTTCTGTTTGTAAACTTTACCTATTTTTCATTAAATAACCTCCAAACCTTCTGTTGTCTTTATCAGTTATTTTTCCCTCTGTGATATATGCCTGCAAAGCAGCTCTACGGATAGTGCAGGCATAGCTTTAAAACAAACAAACAAACAAAAATATACAGTAAGATCTTTCTAGATCTGAAAAGAGTATTTTTGTAGAACCACTGTGGGACATGATGATTTTGAAGTCAAATTGCCCTTAACAATTCTACCTCAAATGTCATCTTCCATGAGGGTTCCCAAGTCCTATTATTTCCATGCCATCACCACACCAGCCTTCCACACTTTCAGACGGGTTTTGCACACTCCAGCTTCTAGAAGCTTTTTGGTACAAAAGCCGAAAATCATAAAATCTCCTGTGGATAGGGAAAAAGCAAAATCTAGAAATAGTGGTAGCACCTGAGGACACAGAGCATGGGCCTGTTTGTTCTGGGAAGCATCCAGGCAAATAGTGGTGCTCTTTGTTCGCAATTGGAGTTGCAGGAGATTATAGCCATGAGAGCTGTTGCTTCACTGCAAAAGTTGATTTTCCACTGCTCTGCAGGAAGAGAGATTCAAAATTGCACTAGTGTCAATAAAATACTACAACTGTGAGCTCTGTCCTTTTTTTGCTATGATGGGGAAGAATTGAGGGATTCCTAGAAAGCCACTGCCCATGAGAATCTCCAGCCTCTTTCATACAGCAGAAGGAGTTGCTGTTTAGTTCCAGGTGTTTAAATCAAGCTGTGAGGAAAGGATGAGTTGCCTTAGTTTTGGGGCATTTATCTTCACTCTTTCTGGGGTAGGAAATGAGGGCAAAAGCAAGTGGAAAATTCATGGGCTAGGCTGGCTGAAGAGAAATTATCTCAGAGGTAACTGATGTGAAATTTGGAGCAGCTATTGTAGTGCAGGGATGATTACAGGTACAGGTATTGCTTATGAATAAAACCCACACGAAGGCCATGGGAATGGTGTTTGAACTGGAAAGAACATTAATATAATCTGATTTTCCTGTTGTAGTAGGGGAAAGAAATTGTCTTGGAAGACAAGAGAGCATGGCTGGGTAGACATCAAAGGATGATGTAACAAGAAAGCCAGTGTAAGGCACTGGAGGTCATAGCCTGGCAATTAAGGAGTCTTAATCACTAGAAGCTCATAAAAGCAGATTAGGAATGATTTGCTTAAGAGTTTAAAATGTGAGGGAGTGTTGATCACGCTTTGGAATGCAAAGGTGGGATAGATGAGGGCTTGAGGGTGCTACTAGCCCTGCTTTTTAATTTCTTGGCTAAGATTAGGAGAAGACTTTATCTGACACGTGTAACCATGACTCCAGGCTTGGGAGGATTTCCTGGGCACTGTCGCACTTCCATAGCTCCACCTTGCCGTGAAGTGCTGTGCCAGCTGTGGAGCCTGGGGCTGTTCTCCCCTCCCCACACCCACGGAGCAGCTGCACCGCTCCCGGGCTGCTGCTCCCTATTTCACAGCACCAGATCTGGAGAGCAGCAGGGCCAGACTGTCTGGAGAGCTGCCCGAACGCAGCCACGTGTTATTTCCTAGCACTGGAAACTCGAGAAAGAACAATCTGCAGCAGCTGCATCCGAGCCGTGTGTCACAGCTGAGCTGTCCCCAGCGCACGCAGGGTAAATCAGCGGACAGCTGTCAGGGCAGCTCTGGACGGAAATCGGGAAAAGTCAAGCCAATGTGATTTGTGGAGCTCTTTGGGAAGGTTTCTTAGCTCTTTGTTTTTGCAGAGTGCCTTGCAGGAACTCTTTCCTTCAGGTGTGTTTTGGGACAGTGCAGCTTTTCCTACATGGGGATGGGATGCTGGAGGAGGAACAGCTCGCTGAAGTCCTGCTGAGACAGAAGCACACCAGAAAACAGAAGACGTCTGATTCTGGGCTTCTCCCTCTGCCCTGGCAGCTGTTGAGTGCTTCCACGAGGGTCACAGCGGGTGGCTGCCAGCTGGACCCTTGTCTGTTGGATAATATGGAATAATCACCCAACTGAGTGATCCAATGAGGATAGGGAAGCCTCTGCTTCTTCACTGTCCCTGCATGGTACATCAGGTGCTCCACTCTGAGTTTTGGAGACACCTGTGTTAACACCTGCAAGAAGAGAGCAGGTGCAGGGCCAGGCTGAGCTGCAGGCATTCCATTTTCCCAACGATGTGCAAAAGGCATTCATGCTTTATTGCTGTGTGCTCAATTCCTCCTCCTGGAAAACATGAGGAATTCCACCAGAAAACAAAACAAAACCAACCAAACAAACAAAAACAAACAAACAAAAAAAAAACCCAAACCCCCCCCCAATAAAGCCAGAAAAAAAGGAGGAATTAAAATTATGAACTAGATTTGAAAAATAGGGATCAGCCTCAAACGAAAACTCATACACACTTTACCACAAATTGACATACTGTTCTTATTAGGCCAGTATGCAAAATAATAACTGCTTTAGGAAAAAAAAAATCTTCAAACTAGCAAAATATTGTGGATCTATTTAAAAGAATACATTCAGAATAAAGTAAAATGCTATAGAACTGCAGAATCCGTCCCACAAATTTAAGTCTTTTAAGCTGATATATGTATCTTTTTGCTTAAAATGCATCGAATCAAAAGGTGTGGATGGAATCTCTTTTGGCTGTATCTTTTGGCTAGTACTATAGAAATACTCCATCTGTTGCAAATATTTCATTGTGGTTCCTTTCCAGTCTTCTTTGACTGAAAATATTCAAGAATCTTCTTTCATTTACATAAATCCTTTGGTATATGTGGGATATTAAGATGGGACTTTAATTAAAAATATTAAAAGTTTCAAGACTTATTTTAAAAGTAAGTTGGGTACATTTGGTACCATCTCCGGTAAAACACTCCAAGTATCTTGATACTTAACGCTGTTTTGTGTACTTATAAGCAAAATTTTATGTGTAAAATGGTAAAAGATCTTTCAAATTACATTTAGAACTGAATAGGTCTTAGAGATCTGGGAAATCTTTTGTATTTCTAAGCTATTCTTTGAATTTTCAAAGTACAGGGTCAGCAGTGAAACAATAGTGATCCTGGTCCCTGTGACCTTGCAGGAAATCCTTCACTTTGTCTCCAAGCAGGCCGTCGCTGTTAGAACCTTCAAGCAACTTTAGAGGCATTTCTTTTTTTGTTAAATGCTCACTTCTCTAAAGAATTGCAGTTCTGAGCTGTGTTTCTGCTTCTTCAATTCACAAATATTTCTCCTACAGAAAAACACCACGTGTGAATAAGCAGAGGCTTTACCAATGAGAGAGAGTGTGTTTGAAGTAAGACTTGTGATTCCTTCTGTCTTTGTCAGATACCTCCTGCATGGGAGGACACGGTGCTGCCTCCCTCTGCCTGGAATTCCTTCAGCATTGTACCGTCCTGAACTGTGTTAACTCCAGTAAAAAAAATATCCAGCAACTCCAAAATTACAAGCTAATCTAATAAATGCTTCCTTGATAAATATGCCCCTAATGCTAATGAAACAGCTGTGCTGGTTAATTAGATTATGTTGGCTGATAAAACCTAGTAGTGAGGCAATGTTTCATTTCTTTTCCTTCCCAAGAAGTTGCTGGCTGTATCTCAGGGATGGATGAACACTGGTGTCCTGGACAACCTTCTCCATGGTCCCTCTTTGGCCACTGCTTTGGCTGCAGGGCAGCCTGGGTGACCTCAAGAGCTGCAGGGGGATGGCTTGGCTGGATATCAGCAGCACATTTGTGATTTCAGAGACTTGGAAAATGGGTGTTGTTTAAATGTTGCTAGGAAGGTGAAGCTTTTCCTTTGCAGGGGATGCTTAGTAATGTGCCTGTGGATGCCTCCAAAATGAGCTCTTGAGAAGTCATTCTTCAGTCTGGAGCTAGAGGGAAACTTTTAGCCGGGGGCTGGGAAAGAGAAGGAGTGTTCCCCCGCCAGGAGCTGGCTGAGACAAGTCAGTCTGGAAACCCTTACGAGCCAAAATGCTCTCACAACCAACTTTTACTTTGACAAGAGAATGTGGCTCAGGGTTGTACTCCAGCACTGAGCACTGATTTCCTCCCATTGTCCTTGGGGAAGCGCCGAGATTCCCTTTGCTCAGACACATTTCTTCCTGGACGAGTTTTTATCACTTCCTTGTGGGGTAACTAACGCTGAAATCATTGCACTCTTGGCAGACACAGTCAATGAATGATAACAGAGGAGCTTAGAAGATGTGCTGGGCTGTACTCCCAAAATTCCTGGAGCCAGCACCACCTCCAGCGTTTCCTCTTCCTAATCTTTCAGCCCAATCTCCCTAATGTTTCAGAATGAGTCCCCTGGTATTTCCCCTAATATGGCATTTAAAATCTCGGGCAATAAAGCTTTCACCACTTCCCTTAGGGAGATGATTTTCCAGCCTGTGGTTCTCCATTCAGAAGCTTTCCGCAGGGATTCTTAGCTTAGACATACCCTTCTGTAATTTCACCCCATTAAAATCATTGATATATCCCCAGCCTTCTCCCTTGATGCCACTTGCTTCATTCAGACATTTACAGATCACTGGTGTCTCCTCGCTCAGTTTACTAATTCCGCGGTACTTAAGATAGAATTCCTTCTCCTCTCTTTTATAAAGCCTCCAGCCTGCCGATTCCTTCAGGCGTGGAGTCTTCCCAAGTATCACTTCTTCCTGCAAATCCAAGGCAGATGCTCACCGCCCTCGCCCGTGTCCTTATGCTTTCCTGTACTCCGTTCAAAATTGCGCTGCCTGTTCCCGATGCCGTGTCCCAACGCCTGTGAGCTGCGCAGTATCCTCGGGTGCCTTTCGGGATTTATGCCTCCACATTGTTTCCCTCAAATTCAGGTCCTGGGTGGTTTTTTTTTCCCCCGCAAATACAGGTCGCGGATGTTCACCCATCCCCGCAAATACAGGTCCTGGATATTTTTCCCCCCGCAAAATAAGGTCCTGGATGGTTTCCCCCCGGTAATACAGGTTCTGAATGTTTTTCCCCCGCAAATACTGGTTCTGGATGTTTTTTCCCCCCACACATAGAGGTTCTGGATGGTTTTTTC